GCAGGAGTCTCTCCCAAGGCCTGTCTCCTTGCCTTGCAAATGGCCACCTTCTCCTTGTGTCCTCCCATGGCTGTCCCCTGGCGGGTCTCCCTCTGTGTAGGACACCAGTCACATAGCACTGGGGCCCGCCCTAACGGCCTTCTTTTAACTTAATCACCCTTTAAAGACCCCATCTTGAAACCCACTCACACTCTAAAGGAAGGGCCAGATGTTAATCACCACGTCAACACAGGGGTTCTGGGGTAATGCCAGTCCTCTTCCAGAACATCCTGCCAGCCCTTCCTGGCAGGGACCAGCTGCGGGAAGGTGGGACACTTTGCTTAAACCAAAGATGACTCGAACCCCAAACCGAACAACAAACTTCAGGACAAACGCCAAGCCTGCCGTCCTCCACCGAGGGCCGTGCTTGGTGCTGAGCCCAGGCTGGCACACTCTGTATTTGGCACAGCTCCCACAGGAAGCAGTGAGAAGATGGTCTTGTCGTCACACGGTGCACAAGCGGCACCGTGGGCCCCAGGGTCACTTGGAGTGGAGTTTGCACGTGGCCCCTCCACCGTGTGGCCTTGAGCCGACAGGAACCCGGGTGTCTGTGATTCCTCTATCCACAAAGATGGATGGGAACAGAGGCCTTGGAGGACAACGTGTACACAAGAAAGCAGAGTGCTGCCCAGGGGCACCCCAAACACACACTTGCCACTGTCCTTTGTCCGATGAGGATGACAAAGAGACCTCGCCTACATTTTGTCTCGGTGGATGGCAGAGGAAGGGTGGCCACAGGCAGTGGTTCAGCACGAGCCCCGGATCCATTTCCTCCTTCCCAGGGCTCCTTTCCCAAGTCCCTGTCCACAAACTGCCCCCAGGACCCAGGACAGAGTCCTCATTGGCCACCACCAGGTGGCTGTCCAGTTAGAACAGCTTCCCTGTTTTCAGCAGAGGGCGCTCCACACAGGCAGGACCCACCATCGCTGCACAGGCTGGGGTTGAGGACAGAAAAGTCTATGCAACTGGTGCCACCAAGTGGCACTGACGGCAATCGCTGCATGAGCGACCAGCACAGTGCTCTCTCCCCCGCTCTCTCTCCATCTTCTCTTCCCCTTCTTGCCTTGGAATCACACCTACAGGTGTCACTGACGTCGCTGTCCTTCAGTCATATCTGACTCACTCCGCAGTTTCTCCCGGTGCTAAATCAGGTCAACGAGCTTTTTTGTGTCAAACAAATGAGCCCGGCCAACCGCTCAGCTGCAGTGAGACGATTTCTCTCCGTCTCCTGTGTTGGCTTTTAGCAGGCTGCACCCAGAGCCAGGCAGGTTCTGATGGCTCAGACAGAGCCTGAAGGGCTCACCCTGAAGGGCTGCCCAGATATGTACCCCCAGGGGAAACTGAGTCCTCCATTCCTCTGGAAGGACTCACCACATACCCCAGCTGCAAACAGTGCCTGCCCAGGGCCACTTGGGGACATCTTTAAAGCTGGAAACTCTGCACAGCCTCTAAATCCACCATGTGGGGCAGATACACGATGGAGCCAGCTGGCTTTGGTGACATTTGGACGGCCTTGAGCACAACCATCTTTCCACAGTGATATGTAGCCCGTAAGATGGTCCACGGAGCCTTCCCTGGCTTTTCATTTTTGAACTTCTGCATTTAGTGACTCATCAGAATAATTCACATGCTTGGGAGATCTGGAGCGAATTCCCTGGCATAGGACAGGGGCAGCCAGACACCAAGGTGCAGAGTCTGCCATGCTGTTTGGTCCTCAAGGTACGTGCTCAAGGCAACTCAGCTATGACACGCAAATACCTACACTTTAGTCATAAGGAATAAAAGGACTTCTTTCCCCACTGTGTGAAATCGAACTAGGAAAAAGGATGCCATTTTGTAATGCGCAAATTCATGCGCAAGTGTAAAGGTTTTGAACCTTCAATTTTAAAGGTGGTGTGGTAAAAACGGAATGCGTCCTTTCCTGCTCTGGAATGAGTTAGCTCTAATTGGATTAAATCAATCTACCAGGAAGCAATCATTTTAAAATAATAATGTACAGCAGGATTTCACCTTTATTTACGTATAAACACAGAATACACATTTATGTACAAAACACAGGTGAAGCTCTCATTGGAACTTGAACCAGTGGTTTTCTTTTGGGGGCAAGGAAGCTAATTTGGTTCAATTTCATTTTCTTCCGGAGAGTGTACATTTTAAGGGTTCTGCCTTGTAAAATTAAAAGAAAGGAAATTGCTGAGCGACTTCTGGGCGTGGGAAGCCTGTGATACTCCAGGCACCTCAGGTCAGGTACATGTAGCAACTCAGTGCTGTGAAGGAAGGGCTGGCTCCCCCGCCAACAGGCAGCTGCTCTTATGACAGAAAACACCGCAGCTGTCACAGGTGTGGGGCAGTGACACAGGAGAAGGTGGTCCCAGCAGAGAAAGATAAGGTGTCTATTTAAAATTGGGGAAGGAAGAGGCAGAAGTTGGTTGGCCCCAGTTGAAATCGTTGAGAGGAGGAGGGAAACCCTGGTGAAAGGAAAACAGGTGGCTGGTCTCCATGTCTCCCATGAGAATCGAAGTCCCCACAAGCAGGTCACCGGGAGACCCGGGCTTGTCAATGGTGGGACATTTGGCTGGTCATAAAAGTCAGAATTTTGGACCTACAAGATTTCCTAGCAATCACCCTCAACTGACAAATGAGAAAATGAAAGCCAGAAAGGTTAATTTACTGAAGGTCATTCTTGCCAGGGCTGCAGCCAACAGAATTAGGGTGCTACTTACACACCCATACTGGTGTCATTGCTATACCCCTGCACGTGCACACGCACCCCTCCTTTGTAAGAGTCAGGTGCGGCCAAAACAGCCTGGAGTCTTGACAACAGTCACTTCTCATTAGTCAAATCCACTTTTGATTTTGGGGTTACCTGCAAGCTCTCTGAGAAGTTGCTATTCAACACCCCATTAGACATCTGTGAATTAAAAAACTCCAAAGACTGAAGTGCCTTACTCTAAAACTTTGAAACGACACCCTTCTAGAGTGAAATGTTTTTGTCTCTCCCGTCCTATGTAGTCCTGAGAAACGGCCTAACTGTATCTGAGTTAAAATAGCTGAATAATTAATTACCTGCTTTGCCTGTTGGTTTTAGCTGGCAAGCTGGTTTCTTCTTTATGAAATCAAGCTCTGCACTCTGGTTTTATAGACAGCGCTGAGCTCAACTCAACATCAGAAATGAATCAAGTAGAGCCTACGAGTGTCACAGCTGGTGTTCATTGAGAGGCAGAGTGGGTGGCACGGATGTGACCACTCTGGTCCTAGCCCAGCAGCAGATCAGACCGCCATGGGCCACTTGCTCCACTGCACGTCTTTGAAAACAGACAACTGAGGAAGAACAAAGACGCTGGTACCCAGAGCTGCAGTCACACCATGAAAACCATGGGGAAAAACACAGCCCAGGAAGAACTTTGCCTTGACCGCCATGCTGTTGTGCCAGAGGCAGGAAAGTGCTCATCCTCCCCCTGCCTGTTATTTTCATGACATCCTTCTTCAGTAAAATGACTAGTCTCCTAAATAGAATCCCCACACCACTTTCCAATGCCTACCCCAAGTCACTCCACTCCCTGGGGCTGATGCTTGGGCTAATGCTCCCTTCTGCAGACAGGAGGGGTCTGACGGGGAGCGTGGTGAGGACACGGTGGCAGGGCAGCAATGCTGTGCCCTTGAGGCAGCACTGAGCTCCTGCAGACCTGAGGAAGTAACTCGTCCTGTGGGGATTGCAGCATAATTTAATCAACAGCTCTTCAGTGCAGCAGAGAGCAGGCAGGGAAATAATGAAGTCGGCACTGGGTACTCAGCTTTCTCTCTGCGCAGCCTCAGGGGCAGATGTGACCCCAGAGCTGGGCTCCCCGCCTCTGCCCTGTGGACGCCTGTGGCCATCGCGTTCTATGTCGGGGTAGAGGCGGCATTCTGGGCACCGAGGGGCGGTGAGCAGCATTCCCCTTCCCCTCCAGTTGTGACAAAAATGTCTCCAGGCACTGCCAGGTGTCCCCCAGGGGGCAAAACCGTCCCTGGTTGAGAACCACCACTCTACATTTACTCGAAAAATTAGTTTATGAAAATGTGAACGCTTTGCTTCTGAGTGTCCCAGGGCTAAAAAGGAAAAGAGAAAGGATTTCAGGCTTTGTTCATTTAAAGATGCTCTTTAGTAATCAGGGAGAAAATACTGATCAAGCCACGAAGAAGCACTCACCATATATGAATGATAAATGGCCGATTAAATAAATACAAATTAAGAGCACTTTTATGCGTTAACTTGCGGACCAGGCTTACGGACAGGTGCAAGCAATAAATCCTCTTTTGCAGCTCAGAATTCATGGTTCAGTGTGAGTTCTCATTCATATAAGCAGCAGTATGATGAAAAAATAGTAAGAGCCTGGGGCGTGGTGCTTGCTTAGCCAGCGTGAGGTTCTGAGTTCAAATTCCAGTACTGCCAAAATGGTAGTAATAATGATAAAATTAATACAAATGAGAACACTGAAATCCTTTAGCAAAGCGTTCAAAACCCAGGGTGGCAGGGAATGGCAGAGTAGCATTAACTGTGAAAATAGTCCAGATAAGCATAAACAAGATTGTAAATAAAAGCTTACCATCTCAATGTGCTATTTGTAGTAGAAGAAAAAGAAACCCTAGCCAACAAGCCAAATGTCCCCTGGAGGGGGTCAATGACAGTACTGAGACCTATGAAAGACACTATGTGGCCATGAAAATATCCTATCAGGTTATTTTCCAAAAGGACAAAATGCCCAGGTTTTTGCCTAGAAAAAGTCATAGGGGAAGAGAAAACGGGCTGGTGTGTGATTTGGATGTCAGAGATTTCTCAATCATCTGAAAATTTTTATCATTAGCATGAGTTTTTACGAGTAGTAAGAAAAGTGATTAACAAGAGCCCAGTAATTACCACCCTCTAATCCCTGGAGCCCATGACCCCCCCCAATCCCTACCCACTTGACACTGCTCCAGGAGTTGCAGTCCCAAGCAGCACCCTGGCTCATGCTGACACTCCTCAGAAACCCTGGGAGGGGATGCTGTGATCCCATTTTACAGATGAAGGGCCTGAGGCTTCACAGCACCTCACTAACAGAGGCTGTTATTACTAACAGCCTCTCCATACACTGATGACTTCTCCACAGACCCCAAGAACAGGAAAGCTCGCTCACAATCCTGCAAATTGCAACTGCACCCAATGCTTCCCTTGGAACCAATGTCAACTGAGTTGTTTCCCCTGTGTCAGGCCTTGGGGGGAGCACGCTCAGGAGTGTGATTGCTGCTCCCGGGGCCTCTGCTTCTCCAAGAGCCCTGGGGCTCACCTTTAATACCAGCATCTCAGTGTGTGGCCATGGTGTGGGAGCCTCTTCCCTCTGCTGTGTGTTTTGTTTCTCTGGGAAGATGGCATGAGCACAGTATTTAAACAAAAGCTTCAGAACAGAGGGAAATGCTTTTGGTAAAAGCAACGGTGCGGCCTAAGGTCAGAAGATTTCAAAAGTCTCTGTGTCCTATGTGGAAGGATCCATGGCAGGGCACGTGGGTGTAAATGGAGTTTACTAAAGTTCCGGAAGGGAAATACAGGTAGAATCTGGAAGCAGGAGAGCGCTTCTCTTTTTTTCTTTTTGTCTTTTCTTTTTTGGTGCTGGGATCAAACCCAGGGCCTCACGCATGCTAGGCAAGCGCTGTACCACCGAGCTACATCCCAGACTGAGCGCTTCTCTTTTCCAGGTGCTTTTAAAACCTACGATAACCTACAGGAAGACCCAGGAGATTCCCATCCAAGATCAACGAGTAGGGAGAGGCATGGGTGGTCCCTGAGTCAATCTGAAATGCAATATTAAGTCATATATTTTCTATGAGTCCCGAACTTTCCCTAACTCGAGCCTGCCTCACTTCGAGTTACCCAGTCACCTTTAAGTCTAAGTAAGACACTATATAACCCATTTTCCTGAACTAAAGGTGTTTTCATCCCTTCTTCGATCTTTGCCTGAACTGCCAACACGTGCTTTGCAAAGCTCTGAGTACACCAGATGATGACACAAGGTCCTCAACTGTAGACACCCGGTCAAGGGAACCAGAAACCAAGCAGAGAGAACAGAACAGCAAGGGGCCCTGGCACATGAGGCCAGAGAGGGTGCGCCAGGTACTTGGGAGATGGCTTCATTCAAAAGTCTCCACCTCTGAATTAAGTGCAAATGCAAGCAGATTTTGCAGGCCACTATGCACTTCCAGGGAGGCAGTGTGGGGAGATTTGGCTCTGGAACTGGTGGGGGCGGTGGGAAGAATAGCAGACCAGAATGGGAGGTGAAGCCCTTGTTTGGGTTCTGTCATTATACCTCAGCGGGGACTCTGCAGGTCACCTCACCTCTTGATTTCCCTTATCTACCAAGTAGAAATTCAAGCAGACCTTACTGTGGACCGTGAGGATGCAGTTCCTGTGTGAGGTCACGGAACATGTAGGATGCGCTGTTTAAGTGTGAAGCTGACCCGAGGTTCACACTACATCGGCTGCTGTGCTCAGGGGTCAGAACAAGCTCTGAGAAGAGGGCGACACCAATGTGAGCCAAGGGAAGATTGACACGGCAGCTACGCAGAGTGGCTGCGCAGACAGGTCACAGGGCTCTCGTCTGCCTCCACACTGCTGAACTCAGAGAATCGAAGGCTCCCATGCAAACAGATTTGTTGACACCTAAGGCTGAAGGCTCCATGGAAAAATTAGAAAATTGGGCTGGGGGGCATGGTTCAAGTGGTAGAGTGCTTGCCAAGCAAACAAGGCCCTGAGTTCAAATCCCAGAACCCCTGCGCACGCGCACACACACACACACACACACACACACACACAGATCATAAAACACTGCTCCCAGGACAACTTGAGTATCGGGAAACATGAAGACCTGGCCCACCTGGAGACTATGGACAGGAACAGCACGCGTGCTTTCTTCACTGGGAGGTGTCTTGATCTTAGGACCAAATACTCCAAGTCTGGAGCCCAATGCACTTTAAGCTCATGGATCCGGGGCCTGTAGCAGCCTATGTGGGCGGCTCTCCAGCCAGGAGAACCACCACCTCCATGGAGGTGTGGGGGAGGAATGTGCAAAACCTCTGCAGGCCTTCCATGGGAAGGTGGGCTTCTGTTCTTCACAAATCATAGGGAACCCAACATTTGTGTCTGCTACGCCCCTGGGAGCTGCGGCTCCGGAGGAAAACCACATTGCACAGGCTGCTGATGCACTGGCTGCTTAGCAGCCCATGGCCTCGCAGTGGCCTCTGGGACAGACAACAGGGGAGGCGTCCCACACCAAGGCTGGTGACTGACTGCAGCCGGGACATGACAGCGGACTCCACCGGACAGCCCTTGGGGACTGGTGGACACGGTGCTTCACCTCAGATACAGGAGAGGCACACAGGCCACTGCTGAATGTTCTGCTGAGGCTGAGGATGAAGCCATGTCTTGGGGTTTGGGGTAATTTCAGATGAAGGGACATGTTAAAGGCTGACTTTTAAGATGTTGTTGAGACAAAACCAAAAGTAACTACCTAGAGAGAAGACCCTTGGAGTGAAGGGATGACTTAGTTCTTGTGACTCGACACAAGGACACAACACAACCTCCTGGAGTGTATTCAACTAGAACAGAAGGCACTTCCCACATAACCTCGCCTTCCCACTATTCCAGAGGCGTCCAATAAATAATCGTACAGTGTACAGTGAGGGGCCCGGATCTCAGGGCCCTGCACAGGGGCCAGGGTCACGTGCTCCAAGAAGACCAGCTCCTGCCAGCGGGGCCCACGTTCTTTCCCAGGGGTGAGGCCGGAGGTGGCGCTGTCATCTGGCACCCAGTGCTGAGAGGAAATGTCAGGGCCACGGTGTCCAGTACTCCCTGTGCCCTCGCAGTGGAGTGGCCTGGGCGCTGTGGTCTGGCTCCAGATGGGTTCTGCAACGGGCTCCTGCCCAGGTGGCAGCCATCAGGCAGGGAAGAGCTCGGGTGGACTCTCTCCATAGCAGTACTTGGCTATGGGGTCCCTGTAGGTGTTCTCATGCTGTACGCTCTGTGGACAGGGGAGACAGGAGCGGGTGAGAGGCACAGAGCCGCACACCTCCCTCAGGAGCAGGACAGGAGGGAGCAGCAGCCTCCACACACCCTGAAGGAGGCTGGCCCGCTCCAGCTCCAAATGTGCCTAGAGGTTCCATGAACTTTCTGGAAAAAAGAATGCTGCTGCACACGGAACGCCAACAAGGAGTCTGAAAATGGACAGACCGTCTCTGTGTGACTATCTCTTCTTCTGTCCACCAGGGTGCTTTTTAACAACCTGGTTGTGACCTTGGTGGCTCAAGACAGTATTTTTTTTCTCAGATTATCTGAAACAGATTAAATAGGTGTTTCCACCTGGCTCCATGCTTCAGAGGATTCAGCTCCCGGTAAGAAGTCCCGCAGAGAGACTGTCAGGTGCTCTTCAAATCGCTTTATAGAGATCATAGGCCTAAAGGTCCTGTGCACGCGCCAGCCCGCCAATACCCGCCAATGCCACCCAACGCAACCCAACACCTCCCAACGCCCGCCAATGCCACCCAATGCCTGTCTATGCTACCTAATGCCCACCAACGCCCGCCAATGCCACCCAACGCCCGCCAATGCCACCCAATGCCCGCCAATGCTACCAAATGCCCACCAATGCCCGCCAACGCCACCCAACACCCGCAAATGCCCGCCAACGCCATCCAACACGGGCCAATGCCACCCAATGCCAGCCAACCACCGATGCCCGCCAACACCACCCAATGCTCACCAATGCCCACCAATGCCACCCAATGCCACCTCAGCTCACTTAGCTGGGCACACTGTGCGTGGGCCCTAGACAGACAATCCTTCCTGAGGGCTCATTTTTCAGCAATTTGTTTTCAGACAAGCAACTTGAGTTTCTGGCTAGGCTAGGGTTCATTAATTAGCCGAGGCCCGGTGCTAAGCAACTAAAGTGTAAGTATTACTCGATCTAACGACACACAGCCAAGCCGCCTTCTCCCTGGGGGGCTGAATGGCAGGGGACTCTCTATTTACAGTAAAACAGCAAAGTTGGAGAGCAGAGGAGCGTCACTTAAGATTGGAAGTAAGTCCTGGGTTCTGTCAGTTGGGGACAGGGCCAAAGTGAGTCCCGCCCAGTCCTCCTCATTTCCTTTAGAGCTGGTTCAAGTGGAAAACCGTGCAGGCAAACGCAACCAGGAACTTCTCAATGGTCCTAAGGCTCACTACAGCCCCGAAACACTTAGGATGCTCTCAGAGCAAACCTGAGTCATAAAAGAGGCGTAAAATCACAAGGCAGACCACAGGAGTCTGGCAAGGGGCACAAGAGTTCCCAAGAATGACAAACAAGTCGGCTGTGTCAGTGAACCCAGTACAGTCCTGGAGACACCATGAATGGCAGCCAGAGGAGTGAGCTTGTATAATAAACATGTCTGGTGATCTTACAAAGAGAACTGCGACAGCTGCCCGACCACAAAGGCAGAGTGAGGGGCAGGCCAGCGACTCAGACGCTCTTGGTACAGGTGCGAGCTCTCGGCACAGGTGGCACAATGGCCAGAAGCGAGCATTCAAGGACAGTACACTAAGATGTCTTAGAGCCTGACACGACTGACAGACTGACTTGTATGCTTTAAACACCACCTGCTCTATCCACTGAATCCCAAAACGAACCACAACTCCGTCCCAGAACAAATTACTGCTTATGCTAAATGAGTAGCTGCTGGAAAGCTTTAGTCAAATTTCAAGCCAAGAGAAGAGAGAACATCTATAGGAGTCAGACTATAGTGCTCCACTCAGACTTGAAAAATTAATTTTACACTTGCAGTCGCAGTGCAGACGTGCCCACCAGACAGCAGAGAGGCAAGCCAACCGGACTCTGTTTTAATGTAAATGGCTCCCTCTCCTAACCTGGACAATCTCATCTTGACAGTTGAACACTAGACAAAGAAAGCATGGCATGGCTCTACCTGCCCCTCTCCCCACTGCCACTCCGCCCATCTGTGCGCCCTTCCCCACAGCGAGAGCACTGCTGCTAACCTGGGACGAGGTCCTGCACTTAGCCAAACACAATTCGAAGTGGTCTTCCACTGCCATGAAGAGGTTCTGGAAGGCCACAGCTGCCCGGTTGAGGAAGCGCTCCAGAAGAAGTTGCTATGGAAACAAAAGTCCCTGTAACGATTCCAGACCAAGCAAGCACAAGGTAACCTTGGATATCCCTCCTCTGCTAAGACAAGATGACACGGAAAGGCAAGAGGGAGCATCTCTTATGCATTGGGTATCTGACGAGCAGTGCACGGGGCTGTTCTGTAAAGGAACCTGTCTGGTCAGGGGACCTGCTCCATCCCTTACACACAAATGCCGCCCCACAGCAGCCATTTCTGACACCTACAAAGTTCCTTCTGAGTTCCAGGATTCCCGGAAGCATCAAGGCTGGAAGAAGCGGGAGGGGCCCGTACCTTGCTGGGCTGCAGGCAGCAGGAGACACAGTGCTCGTAAGCTCCACAGCAGCCACTGGCCAAGCAGCCGTCACAGCAGTATTGCTTCGTGCTGGGGACACTCACATCGCAGCAGCCATTTGTCAACAGGTCCTTCCTCTCACAGACATAGCCTGCAAGCCAAAGAGCAGCCTCAACACACAGCCAGCAGCCCCTCCTCCCTCCCAGGGTAGCCGAACTGCACGAGAGCAAAAACGACAGGAGCCGGATTCCAGCAGCCTGAGAACCAAGAGCCAAGGTCAATGGCAAAATGTGATCGAGGCTTCCTCTGTGCAGAGCTGCACAGAAAATGGGGACTCCATGTCCTCACCTTCCTGTGGCCACCCTTTAGTCTGCAGTCAGGTTTGATCTCATCACCAGGTGGTCATGATTACATTTTCCTGTTCTGAGCCCTGCAAGCCAATCTTTATTTGGGGCAGGTTTTTAGTTTTTCAGATAGGTTCTCGCACTTTTGCCTAGACTGGCGTCAAACCACAATATTCCTATCTCCTCTCTGCCTCCCTGGTAGCTAAGACTACCTTTCATCTGAGCCCCTTTCTCAAAAAAAAAAATCTGAAGACAGGAAAAATCCAGGTATTCATGCAGAAAAGTGAGATCTTTCCAGATTTAAAACACAAACAAACCATTCTTAATAATTGTTTAAATGCTTAGTAATTTGGAGAGTTTTAAGAACAGTCACATTTTACCTTTATGCATTGATTTAGGCTGTTTGCACGTGAACTTGCTAGAGATACAATTCCCCAGGTGTTAGGGGATGCAGTCCTGATACTGAAGGAAGAGGAACCTTCCTCGTTCCCTCCGCTCCTACCAAGTCCCATCGTCCACAGACACACATCCCTCCAGCCAAGTGATTCAACATGAGGAAAGATCTCCCCAAAGAAGCTGCTAACTAGGCATTTCTCTGCTTCCTTCTGCGAGTGGGTCAGAAAAATGTCAGAATAAATCCCCAAGGGCCATAGCTGGGCCCGAGAGCTCCAGGTGCGGGCTCGGGCCCCATCCCCTGCAGATACCTGGCTTCCCGGTCCTCAGGCCGAGACCTGGTGAGGTGCAGGCTGTTTGTAGACTCTGCTCTGGAAAACACAGTCTGTGCCAAAGCAAGAGGCACCACTAACAGTGGTGACACTGGGGACTGAAAGGGCCCCCATCAGACTTTGCAGGGAACTCGACCCCATGGCCTGGGAGCTGGGGCCTTGTATCTCCTAAATGAAGAGAAAATGGTTCTAATTTCACACTGAATGTTTCCAGACCTCTTTTCAACTACTCCTGGTCATTATAGGGGTTGTAAAGAAACCAAAAATCCATGTAAGTCAGCATTTTTCTCAAAATCCTGTCCAAAATGATAACTACACCACAACTCTGGCAGGAAGACGGAGAGTGTTATGGGATAGGACATACACTGCACTGCTTGAAATCATCTGTCTGCCCTTTCCTTTTTCATTTTATAAGTGGCATGGCCTCAGACCTTCTTTTTCTTCCTGGTGCCAACTCCCAGCGTTGAGCTGTGAAACTGCAGGTCTAACTTCTGGGAAAATCAAGTCATCAGGACCTCTAATTTGACATCATAAATCTACCCAAGCAAATATCTTGTCAAACTAATTTTAACTGATATGTACGACCATGAAAATGACACATATTAGTGAGCAAATGTGACATTTCGATGCACGCATAAACTGCCTAACACTTAAATCAGACTAAACAAAGAGAGCCGTGCATCACAACCTGAAAACACAGGCTGCTGCCTGGGGAAGTCAGCTTCCAACCTGTGACAAGTTGATTCTGCCACTTGTGCCACTCCACCAGCCCTTGTGACTCTAATGGAGCATCTCATTTGATGACGTGCTACCCCCATGACACTCCTGGTGGCATCTAAGTAGTGACAAGCTTTCCTTGTTGAGTCACTCTCCCTGTGTTTGTGGAGCTAAAATAAAACCTGTGGCTCCTGGATTTTTGCTGATTGATAGGTTGATTCTTAGAATCTTTTACAGAAGGTGGCTGTGAGTCTTTGTCTCACCTAAATTAGTCACAAGAAAATTATTATTATTATTTGTGTGTGTGTGTGTGTGTGCGCGCGCGCGCGCGTGCGTCGCGTATGCGGTACTGGGGCTTGAACTCAGGGCCTATACCTTGAGCCACTCCACCAGTCCTTTTTGTGATCGGTTTTTTTTTTGAGATAGGGTCTCGAGAACTATTTGCCTAGGGCTGGCTTCAAACTGCAATCCTCCTGATCTCTGCTTCCTGAGTAACTAGGATTATAGGCGTGAGCACCCAGCCAGAAAATGAGCATTCTGATAGCTACAATAACAGAAAATGACAGCTGGTGTTCACAACACAATTCTAAATGCTGGAGTCATAGTGTCACAGTTTGGTTTTTGAGTCTGTATGAAAGAAGTCCTGGACTCCAAGTCCAGACAGGGTCATAGTCCCGGGTCTACCTTGTTCTCTGGTTGGATCGCCCTGAGGAAGGAGCTTCCCTTTGCTCAGCATTACAGTTTGCTGAGCAAAGTGATTTGCTTTTCCAAATCACTGACTCCACCACCACTTCCCAGGCCGCCTGCCCAGGGAGGCAGCTCTCTTATCACTGCTTTCCTCACTTCCACACCATCTTTGATATCTTTGTCGAGAAAGTTTTGTTTTTTATCTTGTGGGGAATGCAAACTTTTTTTTCCGGCAATAGTGGAGTTTGAACTCAAGACCTCACTCTTGCTAAGCAGGCGCTCTACCACTTGAGCCTCTCCCCAGTTCTGGTGTCTTCATTTTTAAAGCAGCATGTCTCCTGCCTAGCAAGCACAAGGACCTGAGTTCAAACCTCAGTAGTGGCAAAAAAGTAAAATAAAATAAAACTAGCGTGTCTCTTCATTTAGTTCAGCTTCTTCGTGTACAGATGAGGATTTTAATACAAGTTTGTCTGTAGCGCTTCCAATACGGCCAAGCTCATAATTCCGTGTGTTGAGACTCTTTAAAATAGGGAAACATTTATTCTTATAAACAAAAACAACATGTTATTTGCAAACCACTTGCTGAAAGAGGAAGATCAACCTGAACAACCAGGGAGCCTTGAACACTGAGTAATGACTTTTAGAACAATCATTACTTTCTGACGTGGTAATGGGGGTGTCTACAGACCACACAGGGTCCTGGCAATCCTGGGTTCCTCACCTCACAGGGTTCCTCACCCGTGGTGCCTCCTCTACAGGCTAGTAGACTCCTCCCTCACAGGTCTGCTGCAAAAGTCAAATGAGGTGGTGGAAGAATGCTGGCAGCCTGCACAGCCCAGCACACAGCAGGAGCTCAATTAGTGCAGGGAAGCACTGGCAGGAGCTGGAGCGCCCTTCAAGTGGAAAGAGCTCTAGCAGGTGGGCAGTCTGACTGCATTCCCCTTTTCCATGGCTTGCAAGGAAGGGAGCACGCCTTCCTCTGCATTTGAACTGTGCAAGGACATTTACTGGAAATTATAAGGTCCTTGCTGAGGGTCCACACTCTGGGTTGTGGAGAGCTGAATACCCTGCCCTTACCATTGAAATGAGAAAAGCCTGCCAAGACTAAAAACTCTGGGGTTGGGGCCAGGTGCAGGGACTGATGCTAACTCTGCAGGCTGAGCCAGGGTCACCGAGCCACAGTGCTATGATGGTGACAGAGGCAGGAATGGGTAGTGGGTATGAGGGACAGAGCCCCAAAGAATGCCTGGAAGAGCAGGCCAGAAAGCCACCCTGTGGAGGAGCCCCCATCAAAGTCAAAGGCGCCACAGCCAGGCTGCGGGGAGGAGGGAGGCCGGTGTACCTAGCTCGTCGGTGATGAGGTGCTTGCCCTGGATGGAGTTGCGGCACTGGTTGCTCAGCCGGCTGCTGTTGCCCAGGTTAAACTGCACCTTCCAAGGAATGGGCTGGTCATGGTCTTGAACTTGGAGGAGGTTCCGGTCTCGTACTGCCCTCTCCTCCTACAAAGAGACCCCAAAGGAGAAGCAAGTTAATCTCACTGATTCTCATAGAAACTACAGTCAGGCCGTGCACAGGGAGAGGTGCGCAGTGCGGACAAAGTCACAAACGAACTTGCAGGACAGAGAAGCAGGGCCAGGCTCCCTACAGGGACACTGACAGGACGATGTGCCTGTTAACTGTTAAGTGTGGAGAAAAAATTTGGAGGGAAAGTTTTGAACCTTTTCTTTCTGATGTTGAGTTGCTTAAAACCTTTTTAGATTAAAACAAATGTGCAGTGGAACAGAATATGAAATGTGAGAACTTTTAAACTAGACAGGAAAGTCTTTTGTGACTGTCATCTCAGACTAGCCAGACATGTCTAGACCACAAGGTCCCCTTCAGTAGCACCCTTCAGAGCATGGGTGCTCTGGTGATACATAAACGGGAAGCTGACTTTGGGGCTGTCTTCAGGGACAAGAGAAAGCACGTCACCTCGAAAGTGTCTCCTGTGACACGGTACTGAGCATGTAACCCTCACAGCACGCCTCTGCCTCTTGATGGTCACCCACAGCTCAGAGGGAGGAGCCACCCGGCAGAAGAGCTTAGGGACCCCCTCTCCCCTGCCCCGCCCCCAAACCAGGCCAGGCAGTCAGCAAGTTTTGAGATCACCTTCCCGCTGAAGTAATCTAAGGAACAGCTACGCTCTGAGTGCTTCAAACAGTACTACTGCTGGAGAACAAAACGATTACCCAGGCTCCCAAAGGCTCCTGCACGTTACTATTCACCACTCTCATACAGTCCCGGGCTCTTTTAAAGCAAAAGGGACAACCTACCGTGGGAAATTTGAGGGTAAAGCTTACACACCCTAAGGAAACATCCTTATGATCACTAGGACTTTGTTTACTCGAGTAAGCTGCGAGAGCTACTAATATCTGGAATACACAAATCCACACACAACTGGCCCACAAACTATTTTGAACATCATCTTATAGAAACACCAGCATATAAGGATGCTCAGAGAGATTTATTATGGCATTGTTTAAGTGTAAGAAAAATACCTGGAAAATGCCTGGCGCTCATGGCTCACGCCTGTAATTCTGGCTACTCGGGAGGCTGAGATAGGGAGGATCAGTGTTCCAGGCCAACCCTGGCAAAAAAAGACTGTGAGACCCCATCTCAATGGAAAAAAGTTGGGTATGGTAGACATGCCTGTCATCCCAGCTTCAGCAGGAAGCCTAAAATAGGAGGATCACCATCCAGGAGGCCTGGGCAATAAGCAAGACCCTATCTCCAAAGTAACCAGAGCGAAAAGGGCTGAGGGCATGGCTCAAGTGGTAGAGTGTCTGTCTAGCAAGTGCAAAGCCCTAAGTTCAAAACCCCAATACTGCCACCACCACACACACAAAAACCCTCAAAACGAGAAAACCTAACAGCAGAGAAATGACTGGCACAGATGGTCATTACAGTCAACCCTAAACTCACCCAATACCCGTTTCCCTAGGGGAGTAAGGAGTTCTTACCCTGCACATTGGGTTATGTGTGGGGTTTCCAAAACAAATCCTGGTTTCTCAGCTACCTTCACATGACAAAAGTCTGTGCATGAGGCCGCAAGTCAGTGTGTTTAAAGTCCCTGGATGACAGGGACAGGGAGACAGGGTAGCAGACCACAGGGCGTGTACAATATATTAGGTAAAAAGCAAGTTGCACAATAATATATTATCACATTGTATTATGACAATAATTACACACACAGATTAGTACCAGCTAAGACAAAGGTACAGACAGACGGTGACCATTACCAAGAATCGATTATTACAATTATCTTCAGCCATTTTTGGAATATTCTTACTTTTAACTTAAAATATGAAAAATACGCTGGTTAACAATAGGAGAAGTTAAATGAAGGGTCTACAGAAACTATATGATCCTTGCAGCTTTTCTGTAAGGCTCTAATTAGTCCAAAATAAAAAGTTTATTTTAAAGAAGCATGGTTGCCAACAGTAAAGAAATTACCCACATCCCATCAGCACATAAAGCTATGCATGTTTTTGCACACTGGCCTCTGGCCCCGTTTATACAAGTTAGGATGCTTTGCACTCAGCTCTTCCTGACACTAAGTGGACAGTGAATCTTTTCCAAGTCCCGACATTATCTAGATAGTACATCTTCAAGGCTGTGTAATAATCCATCGTGTCGACGAGCCACAGCTGGGTAAACACTTCCTCTACACACCAACATCAGGCCCGGGGGGTTTGCTGGCTTAGCAATCAAATGTGAAGCTTTTAGACGTTCTCTTGAATCACCTGCAGTCGTAAAGGTCACACAGTGCCAAGTAACACCCCACCCAAAGCTTTATCTACTCTAACACTGCCAGCACTTCAGTTAAGTGTTGGTGCTTCTACCCCACCCCCCGCCAGGGCTGGATGTCCTAATTTAATTCGCTTACTTCTAAAATGGACCTGCAAGTGGCTTTCATCTTATTGTGCCCTCCCTTTTGTTTCTTATAAAAGAGAAGTGTCACTAGCAGGCACAGGACAGCAGGAACACAAAAACAACACCTGTACCCAGTTAGTGCAGGAGGTGGAGCTAAAGGCAGGTGTCCTGGGAACTGGGTAAGTCACTTAGGTGTGGCCTGCATAACGACCTGTGAATCCATCCTCTGCTCTGCTGGGACCCATGAGATGGAGCTCTGAATCAGTCCAGCTGCGCTGCGAATGCTGCCCGGGGTAAATGGACAGCCACAAGGCCGGCAGAGCTGGGCAGGGTGCGGCACAATGGCTTAGGACAAACCTAAAAGTGCTCCTAACAGGACAGCCCCATGCTATGCTGGTCCTCTTCCTGAAAGAACACAAGAGTTCACAGACAGGTACATCCAGAGGGTCTCTGTCGCAGAGCTACATTCCTGGTAAACAGGGAAGCAACGCTCCCCACACTTGACCTTGTTCTCAAACACACATTCAAAACCTTGCCAAAGCCGCTGCACGAGTGAGGCAGGGTTGTGACAACAGAAGGAGGGGGCGCCCTCCCATCCTTTTCTGAAGGTCCTCCTAGAGTGGGGAGGGGCACATTTCTCCATCAGATCCAGTTTTAAACTTTCCCCAAACTGCTGTTCCCTTTACCCTACCTCCTGTCTGAGCTTTCAGCTTTGCACAGTACATGTGTGTTTTCTTCATTTAGGATCATTCAAAGGTATGCACTTTTTACCAAGCGCTAAGGACACACAGACAAGGGCAGCCAAGGTTGTTTCCTGTGCAGGGGCCTCCACAGCTTGGACAGGGAGGTGTGCAATGAACCGGTGCACCTGACCACTATAGATATTAAGTAGATGTTGTGGGATGCCACCTGGGGACCAAAGAACAGAAACACAGGCCAGCCTTCTCATCATTGCGAGAGGTCACAGGAATGTTTTATGTAACACTGTTATTTTGCCTCAGAGTTAAAAAGGTAAATTAGTAACTATGATGTGTATTTTTTTCCCGTTCAAATGAGGTAAATGTCCCATCTAAGTAGTAAAGTTCTTAAACAGAAGGCATCGTTGCCATTTAAAGATGTGCTTAAGGCCAGGCACAGTGGCTTACTCCTGTAATCACAGCTACATGGAAAAAGTAAGTAAGAGGATCGAAATTTAGGTTGGCCCAGGCATAAATATAAGGCCCTATTTGAAAATAACTGAAAAAAAATTTTTTTGCTATGTGTCTCAAAAAAAAAAAAAAAAAAAAGAGAGAAGATGGAGGCTGGGCTTGGTGGCTA